CACACACACACACACACACACACACACACACACACACACATACAGTATATACACATGTATGTTCATGCCAAGAAATGGTCCTGTAAAGCTCTCCCTTTTTACTTCCAAGCCAAATTGCCACCCGCCCCCAAAACCACTCGCMACTCCCCATGAGGATATTTGCTGTTTATTGCCCACTGAAATACACAGGGTGGCTGCTGTCAGTAAAACTATAAACAAGACACAATTACATTTAGTATTTCATAGTATTCATARAAACACAAATTTATAAACAATCAAAGCTGAAGTTGTACTGCATCTAAATCGGCAATTAATACAATGTTAATTATTTAATTTACTCATTTAAAACACTAGAATCAGRAACATATTATTAATAATCCATATAAAAACAAGTATTAGCTTTGTGCTAATTAGCTGCTAATATACAGTCTAATGTTGCGTTCCAGTTGTCCTCGGAGGTCATAGTTTCGAACGTCCGAMTTGTATTTTTCAACAGGAACGTCCCCTGAAGTCGTAGTTTTGAGTCGAGAGATCGGCACAACCACACCATACCTGAGCTGCTTGAGCATGCGTTACATCATCATTTCAACATGGCTGCCGCYCATAAAGCCCTTTACGTTTACYTTTTCTTTAGCAGTTCTGTGTTATCTATTTTACATTAAGTCAGACGTGCTTCGCTTTAAAGTGCTTATTAAAAGYTACGTTTCAACACTGTTTGTACATTCAAAATGCCTCGTAGAGCACTATTACTGTGTTTTTGTTAAGGAGCAAAAAAATTGAAACGCTTTTTTCGACGTTTAAAATTGGAAAGTTTCAAACTTGGAACTGACGTCAGTTCAGCATCAGAATTTCYAGTTCCGATACAACTGGAACGCAGCATAAACACCATAGAAAACCACTGACATAATGCTAATCTCTCCAGAACACTCATGCAAGAAACACACCATTTTGGGTAAAGTATTTAACTGTAAATGTTGAAGTTTGCTTAATTTTTTTTACCTGCTTGCTTCATTTTAATCACTTCTGGTTTTACACAAAGTCCTTCAGAACAAAAGTAAACAACCCCCTAGTGAAATGGAGGGAATAAGTCTAAAACCCCATCTCTACCAAACATGCGATAATCTTTATCCCTTTATCAGAATAAAAAAAGGTAAATACTTACAAACTATTTATTTTTAACAAGAAAAAAACAAGCAAGAAATAAATGATAATTACTCAAATTGACTTGTTTTGGTGATTTTTACAAACAGGCAGTAAACGGATGTGTTTTCAACCTRAGAGCAGACAAGGCTAAGGCCCTCCCTGGGTTGGGAACCACTGCTGTGAATGACCACTGCATTTTTGTGTTTCATATTTTAAAGCATGTTATGTTGTAATAGTTTCCGCTGAGTTTGGAAAAAACAAATAATTTGAAGCTAAAGCAAAAGTATTAGGCTTGTTTATGTTTTCATCAACAGAATTTATCCTCATTTCTTTTGTGACAATGAAAAAGAGGGGTCTCTATGCTAAGCTAAGCTAATCATTTAAATATTCCAGATTTTTAAAGAACAAAGCAGTGTCTAATCTTTTATGTATGTATTCAGAATTATTGTCCAGTAGACGTATCAGATATTTGTTTTGTTGCTGATGTTCTTTTGGTCTAACTTGATCAGTACTTTTCCAGACAATCAAATGGAATCAGCCACAAAAAGTAGAACCAGTGAAGACATCCTCAGGTCGTCCAGTCTGTCCACTTACTCACCAGAGCCATACACACAGTCAGAGTCTGACTACTACCCATACACCAGCTCCCCCAGGGGTAAAGGAACTACTTTTTATTTTTACTTGTTTGTTGTTGTTTTGTCTCTGAACTAAACACAGACGCAGGCGTACGGCTCATTTCATAACAATGTTGTCTTTTTTTTCACTTATTCACTTTGTTCCCACCCTGAGCTCTGTTTTCATACATGGTGGGGGGATCTCTTTTATCTCCTTTCTCTCTCAGCCTATCGCATGCCAAGAAGACGCTTCTCGACGGGAGGAGATGAAGAGAGTTGGAGTCAGAGTCTTCAAAGAGTAAGAGCTTCATTATTTTTCATCTGCTCTTCTTCGGCATCTGATTAAAGTCAGTTCGCTTCTTCTCCCCGCTTGTTTGTACCTTTTTCTTCCCCCTCTCTTCTGTCTTTGCTTTAAGGTTGGGAGTGGCATCGGGAGGATGATCCTAAAGGAGGAGATGAAAGCCAGATCTGGTTCCTATGACAATGACCCCTGGGGCAGCGCGAGGAATTCTCGTAGCGGGAGTAAAGAAACGCTGAACACAACGGGCTACGGGACAACGGCATACAACAGCATCTTCAACGGCTGTAAGGACCCAGCCTCCACGTCTCCGCTCATCTCTAACTTTTTGTTTGAACGTTTTTGAACACCTCTGTGCATATCTGTGCAGTTTGTCTGAACCTCTGTATTTTTTTTCAATTCAATTAAAAAAATGTATTTATTTAATTAAAAATAACTAAATTCAATAAAAAACAATGAAATTACACAAATTTAAAATCAAAATAAAATGAAAGGTGGCAGAAGAAGAATAAATCTTATAATGTCTGCCCCTTTTATCCTCAGAACATATTCAAACAAAACATAATTTACAAAACAATACAAGTAAAAATAAACTTGCTATCCCTTAAGTTTTGGTTGAGTGAGCTTTTAAAGGCAGGTCACACATAAAAGATAATTAGATGTTTCGTTCAAATTATTTAGAATATTTTAGGATGCTGTCCTGATGCATCTGGACACGCACGAAATCACACGAAATCACACACACGACAGGCCCTGGAGCAGTGTGGTTATCCTGACTGGGCTTTCCTGAAAGCAGACAGGAAACACAGACAGGATTCCATGCAACCTTCAGGTGAAAATGAAYACCCCAAACCCAGACCCAAACCAGTGGTTATTCCGTYTGTTGCGGGTGTTTCAGAGAAACTGAGACGTTTATTTTCTAAACATGATGTCCCAGTYGCTTTCAAACCCCAAAACACATTACGGCAAAGGCTGGTTCACCCCAAAGATCCGGTGCCCCGGCACAAACAGAGCAATGTTGTATATGCTGTTAAGTGCCAGGAGGACTGCGACCAGTTATACATCGGGGAAACAAAGCAGCCACTGTTCAAAAGAATGTCCCAACACAGACGAGCTACATCTAATGGCCAGAACTCTGCAGTTTTCACTCATTTACAGGCCAGCGGTCACTCTTTCAGAGATGAGGATGTTCTCATTCTTGATAGAGAGGAACGTTGGTTTGAGAGAGGAGTAAAAGAAGCCATTTTTGTGAAGAAAGACCGTCCATCATTAAACAGAGGTGGAGGCCTCCATTCTCAGTTGTCCCCCTCCTACAGTGCGGCTATTGCCAGTATCACTCCACCCCCTGTTAACAATAAGTATTAATTAGGTGTCAACGATAGCCATGTGATGTGAGTATCAGTCACATGGAGGCAGGGCTTAAAAGCCTGAATTTTGCCTGAAACTCTCAGACTGAAGAAGTCTCTTGGAAGAGAGACGAAACGTTTCATTAGAGAAGAACCCATCCAGAAGACCTATACAATTTTTTTTCTTTTTGATTTTAGGATGCTAAAGCAACTGCAAACATCTCTGGGTTATATTTTCAGACCTAAAGCAAACAGTTTGGGTTTGGAGAGCTTCACTGAACCTGCTGAATGTTGACACTTTTTTTCCAGCTTCTGACACCAGCCTGCCTTCTGTCCACCAATTTTCTTTTTCTTTTCTTTTAGTCGCCCAGTACACTTGGTGTGTTTATTAGACCCTTTTTCTTTATTTATCCTCTAACAGAAATAAGTACTCTCTGTAGACTACGGCTTTCCAATCTGTTCATCCCTTCTACCAGTGGCTTGGTCTCACGCTCTTGTACTCACGGCTGTCCTGTTTTATTTATGGGCAGTCAGATCTCTCATTAGGGCTGTTTTTCAAATTGGAGGGAAAATYACTGAGGTGGACTCAGTTGGCTCGATTTAAAAGCAAGAAAAAGTGGAAGATGTTAAAGCAAGCTTTTTTTTGGCCTATGTTGCTTATATACTTCTTGATATATGAGCTCCCAATTTGCTGCTTTTTAGTATCTTTATTAAGCTTCAGAGCAGACAGTCAATTGTGAAATTGCTACAACTAAGTAGTTTTAATTTAGGAACAAAAATAGAAGATCCTGCAGTATTTTTTCAATCTAATAATAAAATGTGCTTATTTCACAGCTCCTCGYTCTCAGTACAGCACTGATAGTGGTGAGTTTGTKTTTCAWATGTAAAATTGGTTTTGTTTCTGCAAAAATACTACAAGGAAATGCTTTAGGCTTCTCTTTTAGCTAAAGAATAGTAGATTCTTAAATTTATTTTTTGGAATGGTTGATAGATTTATAACCCAAACCTTTACACCGTGTGCCCACATCTGGATGTGTTATGTTTTAAAATCCCTTAGTAATGAACGCCATCTCCTGGTGTTGTCAGGAACTGTCATATGTGTGATTTTAATGTGGTAATCAACATGAAAATAAAGTGAAACTTAAGAAGATGGTTCTGTATGCTAACCTTTTTTATATTTTTGTCTAAATTTTAGATTTTGGTTGTAAATCYGCCTCACTATCAGGGTATGGACGCAATGGAATCCAACGGGTGAGACCATTGTTACCATAGTGGCACATTTTTACATACAGAGCCTTATTAATGTTTTTTTTTCTTTTCCATTTTTTAAATCAATTTTCATATTAATTAGCTTGTTTTCCATTATATTCCCATAGCCAATTATTTCAGTTAATCATAATTTCCTTTCACTGCACCTGCAGCCTCAGAGTGCAGATTGCTACCAGTACCAGTACGACGACAGCAGTGAGGTCAACTGGGGAAACAGGGGTAATTTTAATTGAACTTTCTAACACTAGGTTTTTATTAAACTGGAACAGTTCTTTATGTCGTGCATTTATGTCTCTGTTTTCCTTTCCCTCCAGCAGAACACAAGGTACAGTTTTAACATGATCGATAATAAGTAGTTTCATTTAAAAACACAAGTTTTAAGTGTTYCCTCTCCTTTTTTCTTACAGATTTACCCCTATGAGTCACTCATTGTCACCACAAGAGGGCGCAGCAGGCTGCCCAAGGATGTCGACAGAGCCAGACTAGAAGTAAGTCGGGGATAAATTATAAGGCTCAGTCATATTGAGACMAGACATACTGTAAAGTGCTTTATTCATAAAGGCTCACCTTTGCAAAGCAAAGGCAAAATAGAGGAATGTTAGACCTTGTCCACACAGAAATTTTTCCCCAAAACAGTTCTAATTTGTTGTTTAAAGGATATCCTCACAAACTTATTAGCAAAAATGCCTTTACTGTCTATATAGAAACAGCAAAAAATGGCCTGTAGTAACTCTGCCAGGCCTATATGTGGTTCTGTAATGCTGCTGTGAAAACACACCAAAAACAGGAAACAAGGTGTGGAGTTAGGGTCGGGGGCATAAAACAATGAAATATGTTGCAATAGATACATGATCAATATCAATTAAAAAATACATCTGAGTCTGACAGAATGTTGATAGTTTCACTGAACTCCAATCCAGAACTGAACGGCATTCTGGGGGATTTAGGCAAAGGAAAGGCCTTAGCCGCTTGACCTCTATGTCCCAGCTCAGCAAGGTTGGAAGCATCAACTACGTAACTCACTCCCTCTTTGGTAAGCTTAAGCTAGTGACAACYTGCACAGTAGCAGTTTCATGATTAGCGAGAGTGTCTCATAACTGCTTAAAAATGAACAAAACAAGGACGTGGAGTGAAAGGATGAAATGAGCGCAACGGCTTGAGAGGAAATTGTGGATAAAAGAGAAAAGGTCAACTGGTGTTACAAGATTTCCCACTCCTAGAATGCTGTTTCCATGTGGATGCATAGAGCATTAGATAAACAAAACACACACACACACACATAGGGCTGCCACAAACGACTATTTTTATAATTGATTAATCACCGATTTTTTTTCGATTAGTCGACTATTCGGATCATACGTTAATTGAATATAAAACATACAGCTTATCGTGCCAGAATACAGCTGCTATTATATAACCATGGTTAGATTTTAGCTATATGCTAACTAAAAATAATTGCTGTTAAAGGCAAGTTCTGCTCTGCAGGTATTACACAGGTTTCTCTTTCAT